TCCCTTCAACTTTCTCTAAAAATCAATGGAAAAAATATCCTTGGGTGAGGATTAACAACAAAAACAAAGAATAAATACAAATAGGTATTTGTAAACATTCACTATGGTAACTGTCACACAATAGGTGCTTAATAAATGTTTATTTACTTCTTTGTTCACCTCTCCCTATGGAGTAAATCCCATAATCATTCTAACTGGTATGTGATCCGTAAAAGGGGAAATAACCTTTCCTACTTGTGGCTGAGACTGCCAGTCTTCACACAATATCCCTTTCTCCTTTAGTATTTTGACTTTATTGAGTGTGGGAGGTAATGTCATACCCAACTACTGACTCTATCTTCCCGGCTCCCTTGCAGCTAGGTGGCGCCATGTATCTGTTTTGGCCAATTTATGAAAGGAAGTGTTGGTGGTTGTAGCCTCCCTCCAAAAAGATATGTTAAAATTCTAACCCAAACACCACAGCATGTGACCTTGTTTGAAAACAGGGTCTTTACACAATCAATTTAAAATGAGGTCATTTGGGTGGGTCCAAATTCAGAATGACTGGAGTACTTACTAAGCGGGGAAATTTGAGTGCAGAGACAGACATGTACAGAGGGAAGATGATGTGAAGACACATGGGAGGAGATAGTCATAGTGATAAGCTTATAAGCCTAGGAATGTGAAGGATCTCCAAGGATTGCCAACAAACACCAGAAGCTAGAAGTGGCAAGGGCTGTCCCCTAGAACCACCAGAGAGAGCATGGCACTGCCAACACCTTGAGTTTGGACTTCTAGCTTCCAGAACTGTGAGACAATAAGTATCTATTTTAAGCCACCCGGATTTTGGTACTTTTTTACGGGAGCTCTAGGAAATTAACACAGGTGGAATCTGAAGATGATTCCACCCGTGTTAATGTAGAGGAGGACTTCCTAATGTTTGGAATCTGCAGGGTTGGTGTTTATAATATTTAACAATCTGTATATGGAGGTGGGCTCTGATCAATCAAAAAGGACATGGACCATGAATAATTAGTGTGGTTGCACACATTCATATATTGGTTAGATATCAGCCCTGGGAATGTGGCTGGAGCTCCGACAGCCATTTTGTACCATGAGGCTAAAAGCTAGGAGCTGGGGATGGCAGACTTGGACTGCGTACCTCCAATATTATCGACTATGTGCTTGGAAGAATAAACCTAAGTTTGTTTATGCATCTGTTATTTGGGGATTTTCTATTTTCCTCAGCCCAACCCAAATTTAACTCACATCCAATCCCATGAAGTACTGAGATTCCTGAATAAAATGATCAACAGGAAAGTATTTTTTTTTTTTTTTTTTTTTTTTTTTTTTGCAAATTCTCCAGCTTTAGGCAGACATAAGACATCTTTCTTATTGCAGTCTTTGTGATGATGATGATGATTGGTTTAGGAAAATAGGTTGAAATTGACTGACATGATCCTGGCCAGAGATCAGAGGTTTTTTTCCCCTCCTGCTTCAGCAACATATTATTTGATCCCAGAAAGAAAGGGAGAGATAGGAATATTAATGATGAAAGAGAATCATTGATTGGCCACTTCCTGCAACCCCCAACTGGATATCGAGCCTGCAACCTGGGCATGTGCCCTTGACCAGAAGTGAACCCGGGACCTTTCAGTCCACAGTTCTATCCATTGAGCCAAACTTGCTAGGGCAGCAACATTTTTTTTTAAACATATTTTATTGATTTTTCACAGAGAGGAAGAGAGAGGGATAGAGATTTAGAAACATCGATGAGAGAGAATCATCGATCAGCTGCCTCTTGCACACCCCCTACTGGGGATGTGCCCGCAACCAAGGTACATGCCCTTGACCAGAATCGAACCCGGGACCTTTCAGTCCGCACCGACACTCTATCACTGAGCCAAACAGGTCCCGGCAGCGACATATTCTTGAGGGCTCTGCCCAGCATCCATGGATAACAGTGGCATGAGAGACTGGCAGGAGAGGGGCTGCCAACTTTTGGGCTGGATGCCAGCAGGTTGTCTGGGTGATTTTTGTGGAGCTGCAGCCAGAATGCCCAGCCACTGGTTGGCAGTTAATCATAAAGGGTAAGAGTCAGCACAGAGAGGTTTGAATCCAGGCTCCACCCTTACTTGCTATGTGACCCTTGGCAAATTACTGAACTTCTCTGAGTCTCAGAGTTTTCATTTGCAAAATGGGAGCAATTATAGCCCCTGTGACATAGGGTTGCCATGGAGATTTAGTGATATAAATACCCAGCAGTAGGGAAAAAGATACATCCGGTTTATTTGTATCCAGCCCACTAGCCCTTGACAGATAATATATGAACAGACTGGATTCTGATTGCTCCTTCTTACCTTTATTGACTGATTCATTCACCAAGCATACCAAATGTGCCTCCTCCGTACCAGAGGACAAAAAGAGCTAGTGAGATAGATTTAGACCATGGTAGCCAAATACAGCCAGCTCCAAAGTGGTTTTTTAAAAAAAAATAGATCCACCCTAGCTGGTTCGGTTCAGTGGATAAAGCTTCAGCCTGCTGACTGAAAGGTCTCAGTTTCTTCTTTTTTTTAAAAAAAATATAGTTTATTGATTTTTTTTTACAGAGAGGAAGAGAGAGGGACAGAGAGTTAGAAACATCAGTGAGAGAGATTCATTGATCAGCTGCCTCTTGCACAACCCCTACTGGGGATGTGCCCACAACTAAGGTACATGCCCTTGACCAGAATCAAACCTGGGACCTCCCAGTCCACAGGCCAACACTCTATCCACTGAGCCAAACCGATTTCTGCTCACGTTCAATTCTGGTCAAGGGCACATGCCTGGGTTGTGGGCTCAATCCCCAGTAGGGGCGGGGTGCAGGAGTCAGCTGATCAATGATTCTCTCTGATCACTGATGCTTCTATATCTCTCTCTTCCTTTCCCTTCCTCTCTAAAATCAATGAAAAGATATATTTTTAAAAAATAGAGCCAAGGTTTGTTTGAGTGCCCCTCCCTTCCTCTGCCATCTTTTCTCGAGGGCTCCTTCAGAGTTTCACTCATGGCTGTCCTGGTCCACCTCCTCACAGTCAGTAGATGCTTGTTCTCAGGAGGCCCTCAGTCTCTAATGCGTACGAATGTGCAAATGACTACGAATCTCTCCAGGAATGGGCTTGCAGCTGACCCTCCTGTAAAGCTGACTGCCTCCTGAAAGGCTGTTCTTATGCATAGAAAGCAAAAAGGTCCCACGTAGAAGGGCACAGAGGAATTATTCAGTCCGAACTCAAGCCAGGCAGAAGTGACCCTGTCTAAGCAGAATGACCCCACCAAGTACACCCGGCAGTCATGTGGCCAGGCTGCATGGGAAGCAGAAATGGCTCTCCCAGACTCCATGGTCACTGCTCTACACCATCTGAGTATGTTCTTCTTTAAAAAAAAAATACATAAAAAAATAAATATATATATATATATATATATATATATATATATATATATTTAGTTTTTACAGAGAGGAAGAGAGAGGGATAGAAAGCTAGAAACATCAATGAGAGAGAAACATCAATCAGCTGCCTCTTGCACAACCCCTACTGGGAATGTGCCCGCAATCAAGGTACATGCCCTTGACTGGAATTGAACCTGGGACCTTTCAGTCCGCAGGCCGTCGCTCTATCCGCTGAGCTAAACCGGTTTTGGCCACCTGTGCATGTTCTGATGAGGTTTTTCAGGGCGCCCTTGGCAGGTACTGAGGCAGGACTAGAAGAGCCTCTGCAGCCTGACAGGGTACATATGTCAGACCCAACGCTCTTTGGCCACACCAATGTGAAATGCTGTCTTCACTGTGTACTGCATTCTCCAGTGTGCACAAGACCATTCTAGACTCTCTAGACTCTGTTCTGTGCTCCTGCTGTCTCTTCCTGCACCACCGCTATGCTATTTCAAAGACCACCGCTTTAAAAATATGTTTTTATCCGGTACAGGGAGGCCTCTGTCTTCTTTTTCAAGAATGTCTTAGTTGTTCTCATATCATTACTGTCTCAGATGGACTTTTCAATTGGCTTTTGAGTAACAGATATTGAACCCTCTTCAGCACTGTTATTGATGCCAGGACTCGGGCACTCTGAGGAGCCAGGCCCTGGGTTCCTGCCCTTGAGATCTCACAAACTCCGTAAGAAGTGTAACCAAACAAGAAGTGTAAAACGACGACGATGAGAGGAATCTCACCCTGTGGGAACCAGAGCCAAAGGACGGAGGAGTCCCCGCTGATGTGTGTTATGACTCCCATTGTTCCTCCACGCTAGGGAACTCCGAGGAGGCTCCACCGGGGAGCGGCCTACTGGACTCAGGTGACTGAGCAGGTGTTTTGCAGGCACAGAAGAGAAGAAATGCTTTGAGTGGGGAAGTCAGAGAACACTTACCTCAGGAGACACATTTCACATGCGAGTTGATAGGCGTGAGCCCCATCCAGAGGATGAAATGGAGGGAGAGATCGCCCTGAGCTGAGACCATCACAAGAAGGCTCTCTGAAGAAATGTTGGCTGGGTTCGAGTTGGAGGTGTCAGAGAAGATGCTGGAAGAGGTCATTAAATAAAAAACGGTTTTTATTAGAAAAGTAATACAAGATGACTTTTGACCTGGACTGCGAGGGAGGAGCCAGACAGGGCCGAGGAGGAGGTTGTCACCGAAAAGTCTTCTCAGGAGCAAAGAAGAACTCTCCTGGCGTCCTGCCTATTCTCTAAGACCCAAGATCCGGGAACTAAGAGTCCCCCCGCGTGGACGTGGGGAATTCTGTGGTGGTGACGCTGCAGCTCCGATTTCCAGGGGCGGGGTGGCCGCGTACCGGGGACCCGCCGCCGGGAAGACCGAGGCTCGGCTCCGCGGAGCCCTCTGGCGGAGCTGAATGCTCTATGTCAGAATTGACCAATGGGATGACGGCACGCGGTTGCCAGGGCGACCGCGGGGCGGCGCGCGGAGGCGGGGCCTGGGCGGCGGGGGCGGGGCCGGGGCGGGGCTTATATAAGCAGGCCTCGGGGGAGGAAGGCGGAGCGTGGGGTCGGTGGCTGCTGGGCGGGCGGGGCGCAGGCCGCGGGGCCGGATCCGGGGGGGAGCGAGCGAGCGGAGGCGCGGAGGCGCGGAGGACCCGATTCACTCGCTGGGGAGATCTATGGGCCGAAGCCGTGTAAATGCGTTTTAAGGCGAGTGCGGGGCGCGGCTCCGGGAGCCTCGGGGAGCGGGCACCCTCGGCTCCAGCCTCCGGTGCTGATGTACCCCTGGCCCCTCTTGCCTCCTTTCAGCAGGGGCCTCGGCTCCGCAACTGCCACTCCTCCTCGGGGTGTTGCACAAGTTTCGAGGTCACCGGCGACCCCCCCTAGCAGTGCGCCTGGCTCTGGCCCCTGTGAAGGAGGACGGGGCGTGGTAAGGGTGTATGTGGGCGCGCGCGCGTGTGTATGTATGAGTGTGTGTGTGTGTGTGTGTGTGTGTGTGTGTGTGTGAATGGGGGTCGGGGCGGGACCTCGGCCCTGCACTGGGGAGGGCTCCCCGGGAAGGACCCTCAGCCCTCGGTACTCGCCCCTGGAGCCCGCAAGGCGCCCCCATGCACGCTTCGAATCCTAGCGCCCCAAGTCCAGCTGCCCCCCTTTAAAAATGTAGAAGCCGAGGCTCTGAGAGGGGATGGGGCGTCCCCAAGGTCACTCGGCGGAGCGTGGACTCGAACTCCAGCTCCGGTCTGGGGCTGGCGCAGCCCTCGGTCCGCAGCCTCTTAGGTGGGCGTGGTCAGGGCCGGACTGGAGACGGCATCCCGGACACTCGGCTCTCCTGCTCCCTTACTCTCTTTTCTTTTTAAACTAAAACCCCAATTCCAGAGCTGGAAAGAATCTCCAAAACAATACATCCATTATGGATGAGGAAACTGAGGCTCGGAGAGGCATCTAGGCCTATAGTGCCTCGTCCCAGCCCAGGATTTGCTATTGTATCTACCCTTCTCAGTGGAGCAGGCTCCCCAAGCTTGTGCTCGGGGCGTGGCGGGGTGTGACAGGCCTGGGGAAGGGAGGGGGTCAGCGGAGGCCAGACCCCCGCCCCATCGCCCCATCGCCCCATCGCCCCATCGCCCCCAGGCCAGCAGCACCCTCCTTCTCCCCGCAGTGTGTTGCATACTTTCTAAGGCGGCAGCGGCAGCGGCAGCGGAGGCAGAGGCAGCGGCGGCGGCTCCATCCAGCCCATCGGCTCCTCCTTCTCCTCTTCCTCCTCTTCCTCCTCCTCCTCCTCCTTCTCCTCGGCATGGCAGGCTACCTGAGTGAAACGGACTTTGTGATGGTGGAGGAGGGCTTCAGCACCCGAGACCTGCTGGAGGAGCTCACTATGGGGACCTCTCAGGCCTCCACGGTGAGGGGCTGCGGGTGGGGGTGGAGCTGGCTCCTGGTGCAGGCCCAGCCGCCTCCCCTGAAAGGACTTTTTCTTCCCCTTGCTATTCACACCTTGCTCATTGCAAGAGCCAGACCCCTTTTATCCCCAGTTCCTGGCCCTTGCCCCAACCTGCCCCTCCTGTTCCTGCCTTGAAGTCAGCACCATCACCTACCCAGCCCCTAGATCTAGGTCAGAAAGCTAGGAGGCCCTTCTTCTCCCCATGCCCTCCCCCACCCCCCAATCTAGGCATCACCAAGCTCTGTGAGTTCAGCCTCCTTAAAATACCCTCCAGTGTGCTCCTCCTAAACTCTTTGTAGCTCAGATTTCATCTATCTCAAGGCCCCAGCTTCTTTCCTGCCTCATCTCCCCCCCCTCCCCCGCACACACACACTTTATCACAGCCCTGCTCAAAATCAGAACTCTTTGGCTCTTCCCAGGTGCCTATAGGATCAAGTCCGAACCCCTCTGCCTTCACAGCCCCATGTCCGGCTTCTCCCTGGGTATATATATCATGCTCCCTCAGAGCTGCACTCCTCTGCCCTGTGCCCCAAGGATGCCATGTGCCCTGTTATCACCCCTTTGCCCAGGACACTCGTCCCCCGCCCTCTCTGTCTCTTACCTATTTCCACTCAGACCTCCTTCCTCACCAGCATCACCTTCTCCTGATTGCCCAGGCAGATGGTCTATATTCTCTCTCCGTGGCCCCCACAGCATTGCATAGAAACTTCCATCCCAGCACGTACTGATGCCCTTGTCATTGCATAGGGATGTGTTCTCTCCCGGACCCAAATCCCTTCGGGGCTAGAGCCCTTTCTGGTCACCTCTGTCCCTCCGCATAAGGCCCCGCACCAGCTTAAAAAAATGGGTGTTAAAAAAAAAAAGTATTGCGTAAAGGGAAACAGTCTCAGCGAAGGTTTCAGCAATGCGGTCTCCCCCATAGCCTTCAGCAGCTCTGTGGTAAGCAGCTGTCCACAGGCATGGGCTGCAGTGGCAGCGGCACTACCACAAGCCGCTGTGTGAGAAGCGATGGGCTGTGGGCCATAGCTCTGGCCTTCAAGGAATTTCTCTCTTTCTGGGGAAGACAGGTGCACACATAGTTGTGATATCTCGGAAGCAAGTGCAAAGTGCAGCGGGAGCTTAAAAGCAGAGCTGCCTTTTTTGGTGGGGGAGGTAGTGTCCCAGGTGAAGCTGGAAGGAAGATTAGGAATTTTGGAGGCACAAGTGGGGGTGGGGTATTCCACGTGGAGGGCCTGGTGGGAACCGGGGCTCAGAGATGGGAAAATAAATAATTGAGTCTGCAGCCCAGAGTGTGTGCTGCAGGGAGGGGAGGGGGAAGGGCTGGGTCACAGATCTTTGAACGCCAGGCCGGGGAGTTTGCCTTCTGTCCTGTAGACTTGGGGAGCCCCTAGAAAACGTAGAGCAGGGAGCTTTGTGGCTGCAGCCAAATCCGGGGGCAGATCCTTGGGAAGACCAAGGGATGGCATGCACAAGGCGGGAGCTGGCTGGGGTCTCACGTTCCCCCATCTTGTTGTGCAGGGTGAGGTCACTGCCTTCTTCGTGGCCGACCTGGGTGCGGTAGTGAGGAAGCACTTCTGCTTTCTGAAGTGCCTGCCTAGAGTCCGGCCCTTTTACGCTGTCAAGTGCAACAGCAGCCTGGGTGTGCTGAAGGTCCTGGCTGAGCTGGGGCTGGGCTTCAGCTGTGCCAACAAGGTGAGCGCCTGCCCCCACCAGCACACTGACCCTCACTGCCTACCAGGCACATGCGTGGCTGGGCCGCCCTGGGTGGGCCCTGGGGAGGCAGGAGTGACCTCTGGGAAGGGCCCTCTGGGGAGGGCCACTCCCTTGGAAGAGGCGGGAAGGGATAAGGGAGGGAGAAACAAGCATGGAATTTGCCAGCATTGAAGTTCCAAATTAGAATCTTGTGCGTCCCTGGGGTAGTCGGTTTGCCTTTTTAAATGGAGTCTTTCAAACTTGTTGGCATAGAACTATACATGGTAATCTTTTAATTAAAACAAAACAAAAAACATCCTCTTATTGTTGGGTTTCTTTTATTTTTTCTTTTATAATCTGAATAATATGGCACTACATTTTCTTAATCCTTTTAGAGTTTTGTTATTGTTGCCAATTCTGTTGCCTTTCTCATTTTATGAATGCTGTTGTCTTAATTCTCTTTTGCTCAGTTTGGATTTATTTTGGTTATTTGTTGTTATTCTGTATTCTCTGAACTCCTACAATGTGCTAGTCACTGTGCTAGGTAGGGTTGACTTTGGAGCGTTGAGTAAGACAGACTCTGCTGTCCTTGACTTGAAGGCTTAACTTACCTATTTCCATTCTGTTCTTACTTGAGAAATTTTAAGCTATAACCTTGCCTCAGAGTACAGCTTTGAATGTATTTATTTACTCAGCAGACATTTATTAAGCACCTCCTGTGGCGCCAAGTAGTATTCTATTCTAGATGGGGATTTAGCAAGCGAACAAAACAAATGAAACAACAACAAAAGGCCCTTTCTTCATGAAGCTTGCTTTCTAAAATAAGTTAAATAAGTTAACCAATGAAAATTGATAGTAGTTTCAAAGGTAAACCCTATGGAGAAAATTAAAATGGGAAAGGGAAGTAGGAAATATTGGATGAGAATATAGCATGTTTAGATAGTTTGGCCAGAGAAAGCTTTGCTGAAATTTGAATACAGCCCTGAAGGAAGCAAACTATCAAGCCAGGTGGGTACTTAGAAGAAGGGAATTACATGCAGAAGCAAGTGCAAAAGCCCTGAGGTGCTTTGGCTTGTGCTATTGTCACACCTGTTGCTTTGTGTAATAGTCAGAAATGGTTGAGGGGAACCCCTTTTTATGACCCACGTTAAGCCCCTGAAAGGCAGCAACATGATGGGGTGTTGTGAGGAGAGTTTTAGAAAGGGTTTGGGGGAGAAAGGAGAAGAGCTAGCCTTGGGTAAGATGGCAGGACTTGGTGGGCTCCAGGGGGAGACAGTGTGAACCAGGCTGGGACTGTCAGAACAAGTAGGGTAACCTTTATCAGAGACTGGTGTTAATTGGTAGATGAGTTTTTCCCTCTTGTCACTGCAAAGCCCCCTTGCATTAGCTCTTGCTCTACGCACCCGGTGTTGTGCATGTGTTCCGTAAAGCCCTGGAGGGGCGTAGGGAGAGGGATTGCCATTTTGCACTTGAGGACGCTGGGACCAGCTCTAATAGCTTGCTAGCAGTAGAGCCAGGATTTCCACTGAACACCAACAGCAAGGAGGAAGGGGATCTTTTCTGCCCCCTGGGTCCAGGGGTGAAGAACAGGACCGAACCTCACTGACTACAGTCCTCTGCTTCTGGACACCAAGCGCTGGGGGACCCTTGGCCCTCTGGCCCCAGGGCCTGGCCTCCGAGGGGAGTGAGGGCTTAGAAAGACCTTGAAGTCAGTGGGGACTTTAAAAGCTTCCACCATTTGCTGAGTGCTCCCGTGGTGCCAGGAGCATTGCCAAGCGTTTTCTGTTCATGATCTCATTTTATTCTCGCCACAATCCTGGGAGGCAGTTATTATTGTCCTGATTGTGACTGCGGTCCTGTGAGGAGGCATTTAGTGTATATGCACAGAGGTAGAGTGACTCACTGGTCAGTGGCTGCTTGTGTATAGCAAGGGGGTCTCTGATTCTATAGCCGCTGTATTTCCCAAGATCCTAGGGAGAGGATGGTTGAGCTGGGACAAGGCTAGTGACAGATGATAACTGGAGCGCGGGAAGAGGCCAAGACCCCTCCTGGTGGGGGATCACGCAGACCTTTGGGTGCATTTACTGAGAGGTGACGATGGGACGCCCAACTTGCTATGGAAGTCCAAGGCTGCCCTCTTCTGGTCAGCCACAGCTGGTGGCCACACAACACACTGACTGAAGGCTTGGTGGTGAACTGGGGCTGGGAGCACAAACCCACATTAAAGGGCTCCAGGGTCAAGGGCACAGGCCTTGCCTTGCACGGAGCTCTATCAGCCCACCTTCCCAAAGACCTTATGTCCTCTCTCCTGACCCCATCTCTTGCCTTCTCTTGCTATCTCCCTCAGCATGCTTCCATCTTAACAAGTCTTTTCTGGACACATGGTTCCCCACCCTCATCCCTTGCTCCTTCTTCAAGGCCAAAACGAGTTGTCTACACTCGTGTGTCTGCACTTGTCACTTTTCTTAGCACCCACTCCTTATGCCATTGCTTCTGACATCCACTCTCACTACTCCAAGGAAACTCCTCTTACCAACGTCCCCAGGATGCAGTGAGAACTTTATTTTAAATCTTCGCATTCAATTATTCAAATAATATATGTATTCACACACACACACACACACACATACACACACACGCACACGCACATACACACACAGGATATCAGCATTATGTCTCTAGAGTTAATTGCCTTCATGAGTTTGAGTTTGGTAGGTAGTATTTAAATGTGACCTATAAAAAATGCACACCATACCTTGTGATGTTGCAATGAAATATAAAAGATGGTCATGTATGTACTGTTCAGCAATAGCTTTCAACTCAGCAAGTTTTGAGTCCATGTTGATGCATTTAGACCTTGTTGGGGACACTCCTGGGTCCTCGAATTATTTGGCTCCTCAACAACATTCAGTGCAGGGACTTTTTGTAGGTTTGTTTTTAGGTAAGGACACTTAACCTGCGACCTATCATACTCTTGACACTCTTTTAGGTCCAGTGTGTTAACTAGGCACAATGCTGTTGGCAGGCCTCTGGATCTTACTCATCTCGCAAACTGAAATCTGATGCCGTGGAGTGGCCACTCCCCATTTAATGACAAGTCTTTTAAAACATATTCAATAATAGTAGGTACTCCTGCTTTTAAAGACTTGGGAAGACTATCAGATGAAAGCGAATGCTGCTCTGCCCCTGCCCCACCCTCACGGGGTGCCTCCCTCAGGGACACGGCCTTCCACACAGACAGAAGTTGTGGGGCAGGCTTTGTGTGGACAGGAATGGCATTATAATCTCTGTATTGTCTTCACCTCTCTACAGGTCCTGGGCTCCAGCTTTTCCTCATCTTCTGTTGCTCTTCTTTTCTTAAAAACATGTTTATTGATTTCAGAGAGGAAGGGAGAGAGAAAGAACAATGATGAGAGAGAATATTGATTGGCTGCTTCCTGCATGCCCCCGACTGGGGATCAAACTTGAAACCTGGGCGTGGGTTCTGACCAGGAATCGAACTGTGACCTCTTATTTCATAGACCAATGCTCAACCATTGAGCCACACAGGCCAGGCCGCTCTCTCAATGGGAGAGTTCCTCTGGGTTCCATCTCAGGCTCCCTTCTCTTATAAACTCTGCCTCTGCTTAGGGAATTTCATCTCCTCCCATGGCTTTCAATGCCATCAATACACTACCACCTCCCTCGTTTTGATCTCCTCTCCAGATCTATCTGCTCAGCTCCTGGCTTGATAATGACACAGGAGGCCTGGAATCCGGTGTGTTCAAAGACACTCACAATCTTCCTTCGAGAGAGGTCCCCTGGTCTGCCGGGCAAGGAATTCCCCTCAGACACCCTCACCCTGTGTCCCCACGTGTAACCCACCCCCCAGCCTGCCAGCCCTGCTTCCAGAACACAGCCCCCCCCGCCCCCCCCCCGCCTTTCTGGGGCTGACTCTGCTCCTTCTGCCAGGGTGATTGGGACCAGTCTGCCCACAGCCCCCTCGGGCCCTTCAGGGGAATAGATTTAGAGCTTGCCGTTAAAATGCAAATCTGAGAACATCATTTCCCTTCCTGAAACCCTTCAACCTGTTTCCCATCACTCACGAATCCACATGAATCCACATCAGCCTTCTTGGTTTCCTCATTGGCTCTGCCCACCTCCCTCCAACCTCATCTTCCCCCCGGTGTGCACCCTGCCCCGGCCACTGCCCGTGCTCCTGTCTCAGGCTGAGCACCTGTGGCCTCGGAGCCGCTGCACAGGCACCTCCTCTGCCGGAAGCCGCCTTTCCTCCCTCTGGTCTTGGCCTGAGAGGCCTCCTGTGGGTCTCAGCTTACATTTCTGACGCTCGGAAAGACCGTCCTCCCCAACACCCGGTCTTCCCACTTACATTCTCTCTAGCATCCTGTACTTTTTCTTCATGGCTCTTATCCGTTTGCAGTTCCACTATTCAGTGTCCATTCATCCCTACCTGTCCCCCCCTCCAGAGGCCCGTCTGCCTTCCTTACCGCTTCTTTTCATGGCACCTAGCCTGGGCCTGTGCTCACAGAGCCCCAGGACACTTGTCAGCTCCGGTGGGAGGCTGAATTCTCCATGGTACTCTGGGTAAGAGCTGGTGTGACAGTTCTGGGTTAGAATTCCAGCCGTGCTGCTTATGAACTGTGTTACTTTGGATAAGTGACTTAATCTCTCTAAGCCTCTGTTTCCTATCTCATAAGATTAGTATAAAGATTAAATAAGAACATAAATAAAATATTTGATGCAGTGGCCGGCATACGGCTATGTTTACCTTTTTAAAAAGTTATTGTAAAATTATAGTTGACAATATTATATATAGTTTCAGGTGTATGACACAGTGATTAGACATTTATATACCTTACGGAGTGTTAACCACAAGTCTAGTAACCATCTGTCACCTTCCATAGTTATTACAATTTTATTGTATTCTGTGTGCTGTACAGTACATTCCCATACCGTACGTATTTTTTTAATCCTCACCTGAGGATATGTTTATTGATTTTAGAGAGAGAAAGGGAGAGAAAAAGAGAGAGAGAGAGAGAGAGAGAGAGAGAGAGAGAGAGAGAGAGACATTGATTGGTTGCCTTCTGTATGTACCCCAATAGGGGATGGGACCCGCAGCCTAGTTATGTGCCCTGACCAAGAATCAAACCTGAAACCTGCCAAAACCGGTTTTGCTCAGTGGATAGAGCATTGGTCTGAGGACTGAAAGGTCCCAGGTTCGATTCCGGTCGGGGGCATGTACATTGGTTGCGGGCACATCCCCAGTGGGGAGTGTGCAGGAGGCAGCTAATCGATGCTTCTCTCCCATCGATGTTTTCTAGCTATCTATCCTTCTCCCTTCCTCTCTGTAAAAAATCAATAAAATATATTTAAAAAAATAAATAAATAAAAAACCTGAAACCTTTGGCGTATGGGATGATGCTTCAACAAACTGAGCCACCTGGCCAGGGTAGCTTATGTATTTTATAACTGGAAATATGTACCTATTTTTCCACTTCACCCTTTTTAATTTTTATTTTTTTGCCCTCCCCCCCATTTCCCTTTCCCCCTGGTAACCATAAGTTTATTTTCTATGAGTCCTTTTTTGGTTATCTTTTTTTTAATTTTGTTTTTTAGATTCCACACAGAAGTGAAATCATATACAGTGTTTGCCTTTCTCTGTCAGATTTATTTTATTTAGCATAATATGTTCTAAGTCCATCAATTGTGCTGCAAATGGCAAGATTTCATTCTTTTTTATGGCTGGGTAATAATATTCCATTGTATAGCTATGGAATATTACATCTTAGCTATTGCAAATAATGCTACAGCAAAAATATCTTTTTTAAAATATATTTTTTATTGATTTCAGAGAGAAGGGAGAGGGAGAGAGAGATTGAAACATCAATGATGAGAGAAAATCATTGATTGGCTGCCCCCTGCATGCCCCCTACTGGAGATTGAGCCCACAACCCAAGCATGTGCCCTTGACTGGAATCGAACCCGGGACCCTTTAGTCCACAGGCCTATGCTCTATTCATTGAGCCAAGCTGGATAGGGCTGCATATATCTTTTTGAATTACTGTTTTTTATTTCTTCAGATAAATACCAAGAAGTGGGATTGCTGGATCGTATGGTGGTTCTCTTTTTAATTTTTGAGAAACCTCCATATTGTTTTCCATAGTGATGGCACCAATTCACAGCAGTGCGTGAGGGCTCCTTTTTCTCTGCACCTTGCTTCTTGTTTCTTTTTGATGATAGCCATTCTGACAGGTGTGAGGTGATGTCTTATTGTGGTTTTGATTTGTATATCTCTATGATGACAATGATGCTTACTATTTAGATATTTATAATCAAAGCTTCTCCCTCTCACCTCATGGGGTGAAGTGGGGAATAAAGCAGCTTCAGAGCCACTCAGACCCAGGCTCTTTGGGAGCGAGCTGTCCAGCTCTGGACTCGGACCTGTGTGTCCTGGCTGTGTCACCATAGGCGGCGGGTGGACCGCTCTGGCGTCTGTAAAATGTGACCAATGAGTAATCCATAGGACAGTTATGGGCACCACTCGAGACGATGCACATAAATACCTTGTGCTGAAAAGGCACTAAATTAAAATTAGAGTCTTATGACAAACCCAGGGTGTTTAAAAACGGCCTCTGTCTCCTCCCATGTTTCCAAACGGACTTCCTCTCAGCTTCCTTCCCTTCACCATGGAGAGAGTCAGACCTCAGTTTGAAAGTTGGTTCTGCCACTGACTTGCTACATGGCCTCTCTGAGCATCGTTTCCTTCTCTGTTGAATGGAGCTGATACCCATCTGATGGGGTTACCGTAGGAGTCAATAAAACAGAGATCCTGCAGTGAGGGCCGGCACGCAGTGGGAGGTGGGCCCAGTGCAGCCCAGTGCTGAGTTGTGAAGTTGTGTTGGATCCCAGCCTCGCCCATTCACTTATGCATTGTCTGCGGCTGCAGTGGCAGTGGGGTAATTGTGACAGAAACTGAGTGGCAGGAGCCCGAACCATTTGCTCTCTGGCCCTTTGTAGAAAAAGTCTGCATCTTACTGGGCGCCTGCGTGTGGTAGGCGCTTGGTGATCATGGTTGCTGTCATTGTCCTCATCATTGTGTCATGAATGCAACCATCAGGCAGAGCAGTGTTCTGTAAAGGCAAGGAAGAGGGGGCCCCTAGGGGAGAGGGGCTATCCACACAGCAGGCCAGTGCCAACGACTCCAGATGCTGTGAACTTCCTTATACATCAACCAATATCCTCTAAGCATTTAAACCTGCCAGGAAAACGTGTCAGAGTCTCTTGTCAGGGCCACTGGGAGTCCACATGGTGCCTTTGTGTGAATTAGGAAATGTGCTCCTCCCTGAAGGCACTCAGTTGTTAGAATAATGCACTGCCTTTGTTAGAAGGAGATGCGTTCTGCCTGGAGGCTGTAATAAACATACAAATCTGCCACGTGTTCTCTGTGAATGGGCCCCCTCGGACTGTGCAGGCATCACCTGCACAGCCCGGCCTGTCACAGCGGAGAGCCAGCGGGAGTCCTGGTGGTTAATACCTGCTGTTGAACAGCGAGGCCCACTTCTTAGGGATCTCTGCATGCGTAGCTGTGATTCTGCCCCTCACCTGTGTCTCCTTGGCTTCTGTGGGCCCCGCAGGCCCTGGTGCCTCCTCACCACCACCTTTGGGGCCCCACAGGCAGAGATGGAGTTGGTCCAGCATATTGGCGTCCCTGCCGGTAAGATCATCTTCGCCAATCCCTGTAAGCAAATTGCACAGATCAAGTATGCTGCCAAGTATGGGATCCAGCTGCTGAGCTTTGACAACGAGATGGAGCTGGCGAAGGTGGAGAAGAACCACTCCAGTGCCAAGTAAGCTGAGAGCCACGCGTGCGGGAGGCGGAGGGGCGGGAGGAGTGGAGCTGGAGCCGAGGACCCTGCCCTGGCCCCAGCCACGGCCCCAGGGGATGGGGGCAGGTGCCCTTGGACGGGACCTCGGACAAAGGCAGCCATAACTGATTACAGCCATAGTGTGATGGAGGTCAAAGTCAAGGCTGAGATGGGGTGATTGGGAAAGGTTCATGAAGGAGGTGACGTTTCAGCTGGGCTTTGAGTAGTGAATCGAACTGTGTAAGCAAATGCATGGAGGTCAGAGGTAGCATGGGGTCTTTGAGGGACAAGCAGAAATTTAGTGTGGACATACCATGTGCGAGGGGTGAGGGAGACGGTGAATGATGCTGGCCACGGGGCAGGGACCGGTGCACATGGGCTCTGCCAGGGGTCAGCACTGGACGGTTTGCTCAGGCTCAGGCTCCCACATGGTCACTTGTACCCTGGGATTCCATGGAGGGGCCTCGGGGTGAAGGTGGTGGGCCACTCTGGTTCCCCCACAGCAGCTTCCATTTTGTCTGTTACACACAACATCGGGGTTCTTCGTAAGCCTGTGTCTGAGAAATAGGATGGTTTTCCTCCTTCAAGAGAAGCTGGAAAGGCCCGGCTGGCGAGGTGGCTGATTTGGAGGAAGTTGGAACTACGGGAGAGAACTGGAGAGGTCACGACCAGGGCAGGGGCTGCGGGGAAGGGCCTAGGGGATGGAATGGACAGGACTCGGAGGCCCACTGGCTGTGCAGGGAGAGGAAGGGGTCGGAGGCCTGTGGGGTTGGAGGGCTCTGAGCCGCAGGGGTTCACACCCCTTGAAGAAGAAGAAGAAGAAGTGGCTGGGGTGGGGGAGGCGGGCCCACGCGGCAGAGGCGCTGTCTCCCCTCAGGATGCTGCTGTGCATCGCCACCGATGACTCCCACTCCCAGAGCTGCCTCAGCCTCAAGTTTGGAGCTTTGCTGAACTCCTGCAGGCACCTGCTTCAGAACGCCAAGAAGAGCCACGTCGAGGTGGTGGGAGTGAGGTGAGCACCTGGAAGCCCCCACACCAGGCCCGCTGCCTCTTCCCCAGGAATTCATTCTCTCGGAGACCTCCAAGGAGGACCTGTCCCCGGGCATGGGATTCTGCCTTTTGGGAGTTTCCTCTCTTTGTAAAGAAGGTTGGCATGCCCCAACCTCACACTCCCCAGGAGGAACCTGGCTTTTTATGAGTTTTACCAGCCTGTAGGCCACGTCTTTTCAATGACTTAACATCACAGCTTTCATTTATTCTGCACTTAGGACATCCCAGGCCCCGTGCATTATACCCTTATGGGGTCTTCTCCCCACTTGACAGATGGGGAAGCTAAAGCCTGGGCAGGCCACACCGCTGACCGAGGGGTGCATCAAGTCTGGGGGACTTGTCCCAGAAGGCTCAGTCCTAGGGGCAGAATGGAGGGGTGGCAGGGGCACCAGGTGCCAAGCTTCCCACCCACCCCTCACTTGCCCCATGGCCCTCAGCAACCCATTTAACCTCTTAGGCCCTCAGACACCACACCTGTCAAATGGGCACCATGTCTGGTGTGCCTTTCCTGGCTGGGGCTGAGGTCCTGACGCCTGGGGCCCTGCGTGTAAGCCGAGGCCTTTCCTCCTCTCCCAGCTTTCATGTTGGCAGCTGCTGTCCCGACCCTGAGGCCTATGCTCAGTTCATCGCAGACGCCCGGATTGTGTTTGAAATGGGCGCCGAGCTGGGCCACAGGATGCACATCCTGGACCTTGGTGGTGGCTTCCCTGGAGTGGAGGGTGCCAAAGTGAGATTCGAAGAGGTAATCCTGGGGAGGAAGGGTCACATTGGGCTCTGTGCGACGGGGGTGACGGGCAGTTATAATGCTGATAGGGAGTCCATAGTCCACTGTGAGCTGATCCTATGTGTTAAGTCCTGTGCTTGGTGCTTTACCTGGATCTTATAATGAACCTTGTGCTACCTCTGAGCAAATGCGGCTTATACAAGTTATGTCACTTCCTGAGTCAACAGTAGACTCAGACCGTGCACATGTTCGAAGCTCAACCAGGCCATATTTGCATAAGTCATAAAGCTTTTTGAGTGTCTGGGCTGATGTGAAATCAAACGAGAGGGCAGGAAAAGGAAAGCAAACCTGTCAACCTTCCCATCTGTGAGATGAAATCCAGAAAAATGTGTCGCTCAATCCCCACTCCAACCACTAGGGGTCGCCTCTCCTCAGCAGTAAGAGCTTCACTGGGGAATATCCACATCTAGGACTGACCCTAGGAAAATAATGTGCTACAGACACAAAGAATTAGCCTCACAGATGAACATTGCACCATTGTATGTCACAGAATTCCACGGGACCTCCCTGGTCCACCTAACACTCAGGAAAGGTTAAATTATGAAACATTCTTATGATGTTTACATTTACATCCACAGTCTATTACCGTATTTTCGGGCGTATAAGACGACCCCCTAATTTTACAGTTAAAACATAGGTTTAGGCCTATATTCGCTGTGTAAGACTACCCCCACTTCAAAGAAAAGACTTACTTTGCCGTCAAGATCTGCAGGTAATTTTTGTGCAATTTTGGTCTTTTGCCCCCGATTTTCGGTTGACTTTTTTTCGTTTCAAAAGTCTTCTTATATGCTGAAAAATACGGTAAGTAAAACAGGTTATAAAAAACATCCTATATAACAAAGAGGTAATATGCAAATTGACCATCACTCCAACACACAAGATGGCCACTCCCACGTGGACATAAGATGGCTGCCACAAGATGGCCAGCAGGGGAGGGCAGTTGTGGGCAAATCAGGCATGCAGGGGAGGACAGTTGGGAGTGACCCAGGTCTGTAGGGGAGGGCAGTTAGGGGGGACCAGGCTGGCAAGGGAGGGCAATTAGGGGCAATCAGGCCAGCAGGGGAGCAATTAGGCGTCCATCAGGCTGGCACAGGAGTGGTTAGGGAATAATCAGGCTGGCAGGCAGAAGTGATTAGGGGCAATCAGGCAGGCAGACAGGTGAGTGTTTGGGAACCGGCAGTCCTGGATTGTGAGAAAAATGTTCGACTGCCCGTTTAGGCCCAATCCCACTGGGGTCCCAGATTAGAGAGGGTGCAGGCTGGGCTGAGGGACAAACCCCCCCATGCATGAATTTTGTGCTCTGGGCTTCTAATATGCATATAACCCTGTCTTAAAAAATAGTGTTTGTATAAAAAAAAAGAATTAGAGCTACTCCAAAAATTTAATGATTAGGCTAATCTGGATAACAGAATGTTGTTTTTAGAAAAGAACTTTAAATTCAATATTATTATGCATTAGTTTCAGGTGTACAGCATAGTGGTTAGATAATCATATACTTTATAAAATGTTCCCCCCAATATTTCCACCTGGCGCCATACATAGTTATTACAATATTATTGACTATATTCCCTATGCTGTACTTGATATCTCTGTGACTATTTTGTAACTACCAATCTGTACTTAATCCCTTCACTTTTTTACCCAGTTCCCCTCTGGCAACCATCAGTCTGTTCTCTGTGTCTATGACTCTGTTCAATTTTGTTTGTTCCTTTATTTTGTTCTTTAGATTCCATATATTAGTGAAACCATATGGTAGTTGTCTTTCTCTGACAGACTTATTTCACTTCGCACAATACCCTCTAGATCCATCCATGCTGAAATTAGGGGTGATTTTTACCTTTTTTTGTGTGTGTGTCATTTAACAAATTGGTGATTTATGAAAGAAAATTCACACCAGGGCTTCTGGAATCTGAGTACCACGTGTTACTTTAAGAGTGCCTCTTCCCCTGTGGAGGCATTGAGAAGGCTGATTTACACAAGTGTGAGGGGCCTTACCCAGCTCGGTCTCCCGCCTACCTTCTTGGCCAGCTGTTCAAGGTTACCAGCTGGGGCCTTAGCAGCTGCCAAGTCCCTCTTTCTGAAATCAAAGAAGTTTTCAAGAAATAGAATTGGGCCCTAGCCAGTTGGGCTCAGTGGATAACCTTCAGCCTGCAGACTGAAAGGTCCTGGGTTCAATTCTGGTCAAGGGCACATACCCAGGCTGTGGGCTCAATTCCCCAGTAGGGGGCGTGCAGGAGGCAGTTGATCAATGATTCTCTCTCATCATTGATGTTTCTCTATCTCTCTCCTCCCTCCCTCCCTCTCTGAAATCAATAAAAATATATTTAAAAAAATAGACTTGGAGCTGTAGCAAGTTTTCAGCATAAACCCCACTTTCAAACATGTAGTTGTCCACCCCCATTCTCCTACCACCAGATTGCTTCTGTAATCAACTCAGCCTTGGACCTGTACTTCCCGGAGGGCTGTGGCGTGGATATCCTTGCCAAGCTGGGACGCTACTACGTGACCTCAGCCTTCACCTTGGCAGTCAGCATCATCGCCAAGAAGGAGGTTCTTCTGGACCAGCCTGGCAGGGAAGGTAGGTGCCAGGCAGCCAGCAGAGCCTCATTCTTCCCTGGAGCTAAGGACTGGCTAGCTGAGCAGGGTCTGATTTTAGGGAGCAGGGGAATCTAGAGACTGGATTCTTGATTGTAGGAAAACTTACAATCAAGTCACCTCACTCCCAAGACACTCAATCAAGTCACCTCACTCCCAAGACACTCATGTAGCATCTTTTATCCTATGCATGCTCATATTTTATGAAGATTAAGATCAAAACAACCTTAGGTAAAATAGATATTTTACTAACTGTATTGTACAGATGAGGAAATTGAGACTCGAAGAAAATATAAGTGAATTGCTTAAAGCCAGTAAGAGGGAAAGCCTGCATTTGGTCCCATGTTTGTCTCCTCTTCTGAGTACCGGCACTCACTCACCCAACTGCATCTCTTACTTAATGAAAATCATGAACGACAACTTATATTTGCCCAAGCTCACTTTACAGAGGACAGATGTAGGCAAGGAGAGGTTGAGTCACTAGCCTAAGGTCCCACAGCTGCTAGGGGGAGTGCTGATATTCAAGTCCAGGTTGGGCTAACTCAAGATGTCTCTGCCCACACCGCTAACATCAGTGCTATTCCCTGCACTTCCTGATAGATCAGCCCTCTCAGCAGCCCCACAAGAGAATCCATATGGAGAGGTGGTGGGCTTCAGGTAGAATGGTGTGATAGTGTGTGCGTGTGCGTGCGTGCTTGCGTGTATGTGTGTGTGTGTGTGTGTGTGTGTGTGTGTGTGAGATAGAGGGGGGGGAGAGAAAGAGAGAGAGAGAGAGAGAGAGAGAGAGAGAGAGAGAGAGAGAGAGAGAGAGAGAGAGAGATTCTCCTGGCCTCCTTTATAGATTTTTTGGGGAAATTGTCCTATCTAGTCCCACCAGGAGACCTGGCTTCTCATTCCAAATTCATGTGTCGCCCCAGTTGTGTGCCTCTGAGCTAGTGGCTTAATCTCTTGGGGTCTTGAGTTTGTCTGGCCTGCTCTTCTGCCTTTGCTGGGGCATCAAGGTCTGTTGCAGACAAGGCATGCATCTCAGGCAGTGCTGCTCAGCCAGAAGGTGAATGTTTCCAACAAGACCGTGAACCTCATGTCATACACAGCAGGAGGCAGGGGCAGCCCTTTCATTACCATAGCCATCATCCTTGTGGAGCCCACCAGTGTGCCAACTCCCTACTCGCCCCCCCCCCCCACCTTGCTGCTTGCCCTGCCCCTGACCTCTCCCTTCCCTGCAGAGGAGACTGGTTCTGTCCCCAAGACCATCGTGTACCAACTGGATGAGGGCATCTATGGAATCTTCAACTCTGTCCTGTTTGACAACACCTGCCCTACCCCTGTCCTGCAGAAGGTGAGCCACTGGGGCCTGTTTTCAGTTGTGTGGATGTGTTTAAATAACATTTCTGTGTGTGTTATCTAATTTTTAAAAGTGAAGCATAGTCATCGTAGAAAATAAACAAGGATGAAGAAGGTTATCACCCATAAACCCTCCCCATAGATTTATTTTCAGTCTTTAAAAAAAATGTATTATATTTTGCCCCATGAGGTTGGGGTCATATTGTTTTGTAACCTGCTTTCCCCCATTTAATAAGGGGGTGAGTGAGTAGCTCTTTCCATGCTATTAACAGCATGCTTTTTGACGACTGCGGAATATTTTAACCCATCTGACTTTAGTGGTTGGCCGTTGGTTTCCTGTTTTTGAGCACTGTGAGTGTATCTTGACACCTATCTCTGATCATTGCTCTGGGAAAATTCCTAGAAGTAAAAAGAAACAGCTCCTCTCTAATGAGTGTTCCCATGTTAACACGAGAACAGGAATTTGCAAAACATTCTCCTGGCCTGTGAACCAGCCCCGGCCTCCCACAGCTTCCTGGGCATCTTCAAAGGGAAAGAAAGGCAGTCACACCCTGGTATGTTCACATTTCCAGGCCTCTGTTTGTGTGGTCCTGCTTCTGGGAGGAAAATAGAAAGCCTAACCAGCACCTACACCACCACGAGCTTTCAATGTGTGTGTGTGTGTTTCTTTTTCTCTCCATTTTGTTTAGTTTTTCAAGGCCCGGTCACATGTCAGCTCCTGTGGGGCAGGTAGAGGGGGCCTCCTTTGACTTAGTCGGTCCTCATCCTATAGTTGTGTTGTTAAATGTGGTTATGTCTGCCTGTCTCAGTAAGCTGCCCTGATGTGCCCAGGAATTTAGTTTTATACTGTGATGCACTAGCACTGCCTGCATTCTTGTGGGATCCTACATCCTATTGTCCCCAGAAAGAATCAATTATTTTGGATAAACACCCAGAAGTGGGACTTCTGGATTATCTGGTAGTTCTATATTTATTTATCCTCACCCAAGGATATTTTTCCATTGATTTTTTTTAAGGAAAAGTGGAAGAGAGAGGGAAAGACAGAGAGAAACATCGGTGTGAAACACATTGATTGGTTGCCTCTTGCATGGGCCTTGACAAGGGCCTGGGCCAGGGAGGAGCCTGCAGCCAAGGTATGTGCCCTTGGCCAGAATTGAACCTTTGGTCTGCAGGTCCATGCTCTATCCACTGAGCCTAACTGGCCAGGACAGTTCTCTTTTTCATTTTTTGTGAAATCTCCATACTGGTTTCCACAGTGACTGCACCAGTTTGTGTTCTCACCAGGGTTCAATTCTCCTCAACCTTGCCGACACATGTTGTCTTTTTGATAATAGCCATCCTAACAGCTATGAGTGAGGTGATATCTCAATATGGTTTCATTTGCATTTCTCTTTTGATTACTGGCACTGAGCATCTTTTCACATACCTGTTGACCATTCATAAAATATTCATATTTTGTTTTTTACTTTACAAAAAGGATGTTGGATTTTTTAAAAACACTTAACATCCAGTTTCCTCAATACTGCCGTATGTCTCTAAAGTTCTTCACTTGACCACTGTGTAACACTCTGTCAGTGAATATGTACAACTTTTGCACCCACTCTCCTCTCCAGGCATCTGGATTGTGTCCAGGTGTTAGTGACTGTGCTTACTGTCACTATGAATATTCTTGGTCCCTGTGATGCATGAGCAGAAGAGGGTGGAACCACTGAACACAGGGCATACAGATGTTCAGTTTCATGAGACAGTGCGAGACTGTTCCCCAAAGTGGTTGTACTAATTGACAATCCTACCAGCAGTGTGTTAGAGAGTGGGAGGGTCTAAATTTTCACCACACCACCACCATCATTAGCATCTAATTTGTGGGGTTAAAAACAGGCTCACTTATGGTTAGGTTAGGCTATGAGGAGCAGATCCCAAATTACATGATTTGAACAAGATATAAAGGCTCCTTTCACTCCAATCTAAATATCAGTTGCAGACAATTCAGAGCTGGTACCATGGTTTCATAGTCACGTGGAGCCATATGGCTTCCAGTTGTACCTACTTCTAGGTATTGCCCTTATCTTGGTTGGTACAAATGGAAGCTCCAGACATTTAGAAAAGAAGGTGAAGTCCATGTGCCAGTTGTCTTTTAAGGAAATTTCCTGAAAGTAGCCCCACAGTGCTTAGGATTTTATCCTGTGGCCATCACTACCTGGAAGGAAAGTTGGCCTTTATTCTAGGTGGTCATGTGCCCAGCAAAAACTGAAGGTTGAGATTACTGCAATAGGCAATTAGCAGCCTCTGCCACAAATAAGATAGAATAAAACACTGGATAGCAATAGAATGTAAGTTGGGAGATAAAGTGACTAGGTTGGTATTCTAAGATTTTGAATTATTTGAGTGAAAGGTAAAGATATCGATTAATTTTTTACTTGAAGTTAGGCATGCTTGTTAAAATGTGAATGTCTAGAGTAACCATTAAAATAATAGAAATCTTAATATATAAAAACCCTGGGCAGTAACGTCCAGCAATGTCGGAGGCTCCACCAACCGGAAGTCAGTCCTGCATCTGCTGCAGGCGCGATACCCCAAAACTGACTGCTGTCGGGGCTGCAAACCAGGGCCAGAGAGAAGCCTAAAGAGAGAAGCAGGGACTGATCTGTTGCCTCTGTGGCAGTTTTTGATCAGGACTTTCCTCTCTCTCTCCCAGTCTGGCCAGCAGCCGTATCTCTCTCCAGGCCTCCATGGGGACTGCTGATCAGCCCACCTTTCTAATCAGGCCTCATTGATAGGCCCAGAGATACTGACTGGAATAGAAACTGACCAATCAGAACCAAATCTGGGTGAAGTGTGAGGAACCAATGACTGCCTAAGAGGCAGAGCTTTTGATGCTGACTGGCATAGAAACTGACCAATCAGAACCAAATCTGGGTCAACTGTAAGGAGCCAATGGTTTCCTAGGAGGTGGAGCTTTTGACGCTGACTGGCATAGAAACTGACCAATCAGAACCAAATTGGCCAGCAGAGGAGGGCCGTTGGGGGCGAGATCAGACTGGCAGGGGAGGGCAGTTAGGAGTGATCAGGAAGGCAGGCAGAGGGGTTAGGGACAATCAGGCTGGCAGACAGAGGCAGTTAGGGGTGATCAGGCTGGCAAGGGAGGGCAGTTGGGGACAACCAGGCTTGCAGGGAAGAGCAGTTGGTAGTGAGATCAGACCAGCAGGGGAGGGCAGTTAGGAGTGATCAGGAAGGCAGGTAGAGGTGTTAGGAGCAATTAGGCAGGCAGAGGCGGTTAGGAGTGATCAGGCAGGTAGGCAGGTGAGCGTTTAGGAGCTAGCAGTCCCAGATTGCAAAAGAGATGTCCGACTACTGGCAGTGGGACATCCTCCAAGGGGTTCCCAAATGGGAGAGAGTACAGGCTGGGCTGAGGGAACCACCCTTCTGTGCACGAATTTTATGCACTGGGCCACTAGTATATAATTTCTAACATTGGGAGTAATTAAAATAGTTTAGTTTGGACACCAACTTTAAAAAATAGACCAGCAAAATGCAGTTAAGAGCACAGGAAAGAACCACACATGTGGAAAGTGTTGACAAGGCTCACAAGGAAGGTCATTGGGTACTGTGTAATATGTGATGCCAGAACATCTGATTGTCCATATGCAAAAAATGAAATTAGACCTCTATCTCACACCATACATGAAAACTCCAGAAACCAATGTAGGCACAGTGAAGGATATCTTAAAAATAAAAAAGGAAAAGACTGTCTACATTAAAATGAAAAGCTTCTGTTCATCTGTTAGCAAAAGCAAAGAGGCGATCACAAACTGGGGGAAAATACTGAAACGTGTATATAACTGATAAGGGCTTAGTATACAGAATATATGAAGGATTTTTAAATAAGAAATACAAATAAATAAGAACCTTAAGGAAAAAACAATGTGAACTAGAAAGCAATAGAAATATGGACAAAAGACCAACAGGCAATTAAGAAAAAGGAAACCAAATGCAAAATGAAAAGGTGCTCAACTTCGTTGGCAATTAAGGAAATGTAAGTTGAAGTGAAAACAAGGTACTATTTTATGCTGACTACATTAGAAAGAAGTTTAAAGCATGGCAGCATCAAGTCTTGGTGAGGACATGCAACAGCTAGCTAGGTGGGAGTTTGTAGGCATTATTCAGATAAACAAGCGTATACCTACCTTCCAACAATTCCTAGGTATATATTGTAAAGAGACTCTTGGCATATGTGTTTGAGGAGATAAATAAGAATGTTCACAGGAGCAATTTTTATAATATAAAACATTGGAAATCACCTTATGTTTATTGTCAGGGCAATACATAAATAAATTACAGTGTATTCCATATAATGAATTTTCTTTTTTAAAAAATATATTTTTATTGATTTCAGAGAGGGAGAGAGAGAGAGAGAGACAGAAACATCAATGATGAGAGGGAATCATTGATTGGCTGCCTCCTGCACGTTAAACTGAGCCTGCAACCCAGGCATGTGATCCTGATCGGAATCGAACCCAGGACCCTCCAGTCCGCAGACCACTACCCACTAAGCCAAACCAGCCAGGGCCATATAATTAATTTTCTATGCAACATACTGCAAATTGCATTAGTTGGAATCTTGAGTGTGTAAGTTTCAACAACAACAAAAAAGCAAGTTGTAGAGATTACACTCTATAATTCCATTTACATATACTTCAAAAGTGTGGGAACTAAATACTACCTTGTTTAAGATTAAGTATGTTGCCAAAACCAATTTGGCTCAGTGGATAGAGCATCAGCCTGCGGACTGAAAGGTCCCGGGTTCGATTCTGGTCAAGGGCATGTACCTTGGTTGCGGGCACATCCCCAGCAGTGGGGTGTGCAAGAGGCAGCTGATTGATGATTCTTTCTCATCGATGTTTCCAACTCTCTATCTCTCTCTCTTCCTCTCTGTAAAAAATCAATAAAATTAAAAAAAAGATTAATTATGTTTTTGGAAAATTAAGTAAAACAAGAGAATTCCCTAGCCAGTTTGGCTCAGTGGATAGAGTGTCAACCTGCGGACTAAAGTGTCTCAGTTTCAATTCCGGTCAAGGGCACATGCCCAGGTTTTGGGCTCAGTCCCCAGTGGGGAGTGTGCAGGAGGCGGCCAATCAATGATTCTCTCTCATCACTGATGTTTCTCTCTCTCTTTCTCTCTTCCTTACTAACTGAAATTAATAAAGAAAAAGTATATTTAAAAAGAGAATAATGAAAATAAAATTCAGGATAGTGGCTACCTCAGGAGGCATGTCATTGGTGTGGGCCACAGAGGAGTTTCAAACATACTGGAAATTTTTCTATATCTTACAGATGATACAAAATTCTTTTGTATGAATTAAATATTTATCAAAAAATTTTAAAATTCTCATCCAAGTACATTTTTTAAAATTGATTTTAAGAGAGAGGGAGAGGGAGAGAGGGAGAGAGGAAGAGAGAAATATCAATGTGAGAGAGAAACATCAATCAGTCCCTCCTCCTCCCCCCCATGTGTCCCAATTGGGGCCAGGCATTGAACATGCACCCTAGGCATGTGCCCTGACCAGAAATCAAACCCACAACCGTTCGGTGTAAAACGATGCTCCATCCAACTGAGCCACTCAGCCAGGACAGGTTAAGAATATTGCCCAAGGTCACACAACTAGCAAGTGTTGGAGCTTGGATTTAACCCCAGGCATTGTGGCTTCAGAGTCTTAAGAGGCAATGAGTGCAGAAAAGTGGGAGGGCCTAAGTGCCAGGCTAGGAGCCTCATCTGTGGTTGTCCTATTGGCTAGGGGAGCCACGGAGGCTTTTGAGGGAGGAGTGATAAGGCTGTGGACAGTATGCTGAGGAAAGCTGAATGTGATCATCCCTCTTCCCTGCAGAAACCTTCCACAGAGCAGCCCTTGTACAGCAGCAGCCTGTGGGGCCCGGAGGCTGATGGCTGTGACTGTGTGGCCGAGGGCCTGTGGCTGCCGCAACTACACGTAGGGGACTGGCTGGTCTTTGAGAACATGGGCGCCTACACTGTGGGCATGGGTTCCCTCTTCAGAGGGATCCCGACCTGCCGCATCACCTACGCCATGTCCAGGGTGGCCTGGTAAGGGGGCCCTGCTGGGAGAGGAGTGGGGAGGGGGAGAAAGAGTGGGCTAGGCAGAAGCAATGAGGGAAATCTTAGGTTTGGGACCCTGCTTCTGTGAAATCCAATTTGACAAGTAGCCCTTGGCTGTTGATTCCAAGTGAGGCCTGTGCTTGGCACCTGGCTGTGGCCATGAATGAGACTGAGCTTCCCTTGAGGAGGAGACGCAGAGAAGCAGACAGGACTCCTGATAAATTCTGAGCTGGGTAGAGAGGGCAGGCTATAGAAGCTTAGATTCCTCCCTGGGGCCCAGATCCACCTCCCCGAGGAAGGAAAGGTGAAGTAAAGCCAGGAGATGAGTGGGATTTGGGCAGCAAGAGGCAGGAGGGCAGGAGAGGGCTCTGAGAAGAGGAGTCAGGAAGGGAGCATTCTACACAAGGTTGGTCGTGGCTGGGGAGGGAGCAGGGCTGCATCTGAGAAGGGCCTTAAGAACTGAGAAGGGTTTTGAGCAGCAAGGGGGTAGCACGTACTGGCTTGAAGCAGGGGAGTGACACAGTCTGGTGTGGACTCTAGAAAGGCCACTCTAGCTACTGTGTGGATGAAGGGAGGCCAAGAGCATGTGTGCATAGACCTGATCAATCCAGTGGAAATAATGGCACTCACTTAGGAAATACTGGCACTCACTTAGCCTCCATCTTCCCATCTAAAAAGTGAGCCTAAAACTGGCCCTCCTTCCTCACCAAGCTTCGGGATCCAGTGAGCAAGATGGGAGGAAAGTTGTTAGTTGAACCCTTCTGTCAGGCTTTATGATTATTTCCTTTCAACCATACACAGCTCTGCGATGAGTGTTATCACAGATAGGTCAGTTGCTTGAGGTCACATAGCTGCTCAGCAGTGAAGAGCCCCTCTTTTGGAGTTGGTGAGATAGCTATGGATGGCAGGAGTATCCACTCTCTCCACTGAGTAAGTGCTTACTACTTGCTAGTGTGCTGCTGGGGCACAGGCACTAACTCCCTGCCCTGATGAAGCTGAAGGATGGCTCTGGCTGAAGGAGAGCTGTGGCTGAAGGGGTGCTATAGTTAAAGGGGTGCTGTAGCTGAAGCAAATATTGAATCCTTATCTTTATTGAGAAGTACATTGTGCTGTGCGATTCAGCAAAGTCTTTCCTGAGATTCAGTCACTGAAGCCGAGACCTGATGGCCGAGGAGGAGTTAGTAAGGGTTGATGATGCAGGTGGAAGCACAAGTACGTGCACAGGCCTGAGATGGGATGCTGTGGATGGCACCCAGGGGATGAGGATGGGCACAGTTGGAGAGGCCAGCTGGGACAGATCTCCTGGAGCCGGAGAGCAGATGGAAGCTGCTGGCAGCTCAAGAGCAGGGATTCACTCTTTGGGAAGATGGCCCTGGGCCAGCAATGTCTGGAGGAGGCCAGAGAAGACCTGGGAGACCGCGTTCCCGGCTAGAGATGGTGGTGGCGGTGTAATGGAGAGACCTGTGTGCTGTAAGGAGGCTCAGGAGCTGGGGTCAGCAGGATCACTGGGTGTGAGGATAAAATTCCCAATGAGTGGCTGTTCAGAGGGTGGAGGCCCATATCAACATGGGTAGGTAGGAGGAGAAACAGTTTGTGGGATTTTTTTGAATGGGGCAGGCGATAATTTTTTTTAAGTGCCAAGCCTGGAATATGAAGAATGTGGGAGAGACCTAGTTCTACCACCTTCTAGAGATGTAACCTCGGGCAGGTCACTTCTCTGTGTCTCAGTAAAATGGGGGTGACAATGCTGCTCTTACAATTAGATAACATAAGTAAACTGCCTGGCACAGTGGTCGGCAAATCGCGACTCGCGAGCCACATGCAGCTCTTTGGCCCCTTGAGTGTGGCTCTTCCACAAATACCATGTGTGGGCACGCATGTACAGTGCTACTGAAACTTCGTGGCCCATGCGCAGAAGTCAGTTTTCGGCCTGGGCGAGTCTATTTTGAAGCAGTGGCGTTAGAACACTCAAGGGGCCAAAGATCTGCACGTGGCTCGCGAGCCAAGGTTTGCCGACCACTGGCCTGGCACAATGTCTGCCACAGTGTGTTCAACAAATGTGGGTTCCTTTCCTTCTTGGGGGCGTTGGACTACAAGGGTAGGGGAGATGGTCAGCAGGCCTTCTCCTGACCTAGGCTGGGCTCTGGGGCTCAGTGAGACCCCTATACCCGATGGGGGCCAGGTCTTCTGGTGCAGGGCCATCAGGAACCCCCAGCCGGCAGGTCCCATGCTGGTGGCCTCCAGTGCCCCTCTCTCCCCCACAGGAAAGCAATGCGAGAGCAGCCGCTGCCTGCAGAACAGGATGAGGACGCCGAGGGCATGTGCAAGCCTCTGTCCTGCGGCTGGGAGATCACAGACACCTTGTGCGTGGGCCCCGTCTTCACCCCGGCGAGCATCATGTGAGCGGCCCCGTTCCCCCCGGAGAACCCCAGCGGGGCCACAGAGATGCCTCTGGGAGAGGTGGGGAAGGTGGCAAGCAGGGCACTGTCTGGCCAGGACTCTGGTGCTCGCTCTGCTGCCCACCCCCCCCCCCTCCACCCGTAGTGTTTCTGCCCTGTAAATAGGACCAGTCTTACACTCGCTGTAGTTCAAGTATGCAACATAAATCCTGTTCCTTCCAGCTGTGTCCGCCTCCTCTGCAGCGCCAAGGGGCTGGTCAGCCAGGTGTGGGGTGTTCTCAGGGTTTCCCCCTGGTCTCCTTCCCACTTTTGTAAATATGATGCAAATAAATATTTAGGTTTTTAAATATTCCAGTGGAATCTGGCAATTCAATTCCCAAAGCAGCCTGGCTAGGCCAGCAGCGAGATGTCCGCCTGCACCGAGGACCCCATGGCCTCCGCCTCAGGCCTGACCTGGCTGCCGTGTGGGCATCTCCTGCAGCACCAGCTCCTCTGACGCCTCTTCTCTCCACAGGCCTCCGTGCCTGGCCTCCTGGGGAAGGGGGAGCTGTCAGGTTGAGGTGGGCTCAGAGTTGCTTCCCTGGAGCTCAGCTCTGAGAGGGGCCTCTGTGTGAACCTAGCACTCCACCTAAGGCCTGACCCTAAGTGGGGGCAATCGAGTATTAGACACAGCTTTGGAAATTCATACCAAAGATAAAGAGCAAAGAGATGGGTTTTGAGGAGACCCTACACCCCCATTCTCCTTGTAGGTCTGCAAGGCAATAGGAGGAATGCCAATAACCTGCATTGGGGGAAATTTGGTGGTTGTAGTATATCCATAGAGTTTGTACAGCCATCACCTCTATCAATTCTAGAACATGCTCATCACCTCAAAAAGAAACCCATCGGCAGTCGCTCCCCATTCCCTCCTCCACAGCCCCTAATCTGTTTTCCAACTCTACAGATTTGCCTATTCTGAACATTTCGTTTTGACTTTTTATACGTTCATTTGAACATCTCTCTGGGTAAGCCTGGTACAATGTGTATTTTTTCCACACCACCCACAAATTCTCCGACATCAGCTAGATGTCCTACAATTTCACTCAATTCCGACACTAACTACCTGGAGATGCTTTAGATCCCACAGGTAAAGGGCTCGGTCCTACAAGACTGCCACCCTTGCCCCACTTCACAGGCCAGTCCCCCAGTCCAGGCTGTCACCTGTGCTCCTGATGGACAATAAATCAGAGGCTCTGACCTCTTCCTTGGACTCAACTGGTTTGCTAGAGGGGCTCTCAGAAGCCAGAGAAACATTTTATTTATAGATTACTGGTTTATTATAAAAGGATAGAACTCAAGAACAGCCACATGGAGGAGGTGCATAGGGAAAGGTATGGGGGACGGGCATGAGCTTCCATGCTCTCTCCTGTGCCAGTCTCCCAGCACCTCCATGTGTTCACCTACCCGGGCTCTCCGAACCCCGCCTTTTTCGGGTTTTATGGAGGGTTCGTTACATAGGCACATGAGATTAAGTCATTGGCCACTGGTGAGTGAACACAATCTCCAGCCCCTCTCCTCTCCCCAGCAGTTGGGGGATGGGTGGGACATAGCAAAAGACACCTTCATCACTCTCACCACTTAGGAAACTACGATACCATGTTTCCCCGAAAATAAGACATCCTCTGAAAATAAGACCTAGCGCACCTTTGGGAGAAAAAATTAATATAAGACACTGTCTTATTTTCGGGGAAACAGGGTAATGTTAGCTCTGTGCCTAAATGGGGATGAAAACCGAAGAGATACTTCTTATAAATCACAATGCCATACGTAGACATCCTGTTTCAGTATCTTGACAGTCCTGGGTCCTGCCCATGGCTCTGAGGTCATCTAATGAGGCAACATGTTCTGAGTGAATGAGGTTCTTGCCAATGCAGAGGTGTCTCCCATTTCCAGGCTGGGGTAGTCTTTGATATTTTGACAATAAGGAGGCTGAAATCTCAGGACACCAAGAGACTCAGAGAACAGTCAGAAAGAGTTACTCTACCACCCCAGTGTTCTTCATCCAAAGCCACGTCTTACATATTACTACACTAGGCTCAGGCCCTCATCTATGAGACTATTCCTGAGACTTCTGTTTCAATGCCCAAGCACATCTGGACCCACTCATGCTTTTTTTTTTTTTTTCTTTTTCTTTTTTTTTTTCTTTTCTTTTGTGGGGAGGGGAGATGAAGAGAGGACAAACACAGGATCTTCTGCTAGAATCAGGCACCTGCTTCCAAAGGTGGCAGGTGGCTGCAGTGAGATCCAGGTAGTAACTCAGTTCCTTGTCTGAGGCAGGTGCACTGTGGAGAGCCCTCTGTGGCTTTTAAAGTGACAGCAGCTGGCACAGAGTTTGAACAGGTATCTCACTGGAGCCTTTCAATTGTTTCATGTTCCATTTGTTGCAAGAATGTGAAATTTACTTTTCTGAGGAAGAGACACAGAACTTGATGTGCCTTATTTGAGAATAATAAAGTCGTTTCTCTTCAGTTACTGTTTTTGTTGTTTCCATCTTTTTCTAAAGAGAAAGAAGAAAAAGCATTAAATGTGTGGAGAATGTTAATGGGCTTCAGGCCTGTGCAGGGGAATCCAACCAAAGATCCTGGAGTCCCAACTGCACTGACATTTGCCTTCTTTGAGTGCTTCCATAAGCAATCCACTGACAAGGAACCCTCATGCCATTCTGGCTGCCCTAGTCACTTTCTTGTTGGACTCTCACAGGTCCATCCTGGCCTGGGACCTCACCACAGGGGTATCCTCCTCCCCACCAGCTCCCCACAACTCCTCTTTGCTCCTTCTGGCCACTCATTCACTCACTCTGGGAGGTTAACAGATCTACTACTGCCCCAGACCAAGCGGCCATCCTCTGTCCCCAAGGGCTGGCACTCCTCTTCCCCTCCCCAGTCCACTCTACTCAGCGCCAGATCCTGTCACTCCCACAATTCCCATTTCTCCAAGAATAAAATGTAAAGTCCTCACTAAGCTACCTCTCTGACTCCCTCGCCTCCCAAACTCACTACCCCTTTCAGCACAGCCTCTCCACCTCTCAAACACTCCATACAAGGTACTCTTGCTGTGTTGGGAAGCATGAGACTTGGAACATTTGTAAGGAGGACATTCTGATAAAAGGGAAGCATGTAGAAGGCCACCTGTCCTGTTTATTGGAATTTCGACTTAGAGGAGACTTAAGGGAGTGTCCAAGGTGGCATCCCTAGTTATTCCTTGATCTTTTCAAACAAGTCTGTGTATTTACAGACCCCTTTGTGTTTACTGGAATCCCTGTATGCCCTTGCCTAGAGGACAATGTAAACATGAGTCCTCCCAAGATTACTTACCCTACTGATTGTATAATAAAAGACTAGCAAGATAGGCAAACAGGGCTGCCTGGTTGCTATAGCCAGGCCGTCCCTTAGCCCTCTCTTTCACAGCAAACCTTGTGTCAGAGTAATCCATTCATCCGTCTCTCAGGGTCTGCTGTCCAGCCCAGGCACTACTGGGCCTGTGTATACTGCCCTGTCTCTTTGGAATGATTGTCCCAGGTTACCTGTGGGGCTCACTCACTTCAGGTTCTCCTCAAATGTTTTCTTTAGGTGAGGAGTTCTCCAAGCACCCTTTAGAAAACAGCACTTTCCAGTCTTCTCCCTTAACTGGTTTCTTCTTTTTCAGCACCAATCACCACACGGGATGTTTGTCTGTGTATCATCTGTCAGCCCCTCTAGAATGTGAGCTCTTTGGCTACAGGAACCTTAGTTATTTTTATCATGTTATTTTCTCATTACCCAGAACGACGTAGATGCTCAAAGAGTATATCGCAAATGGACAAACATAGCACTTAGCCTATCAATTTGTTTGTTCGTTTGTCAAGTATGGCTGCTAATTATACTTTCCTCATGGTTACTGTGAGGATTAAATAAGAAAATAGTATAAAGTACACAGCCCAGGGCTGAGCACATCATTAAGTGCTCAATAAATGATCTTGAAAGGTAATTGAGCATCTGTTGACCACTCACTGTGGCCAGGCTCTGTGGCATGGTGATGCAGTGAACTCACACAGGGCCTTGGATAACAGAGCCAGGAATCTAAATTTAATTCTGCAAACAGCAGGGAGCCCCATTGCTTCTGAAGCATGACAGGACCTTTGAGAAGATAAGTGGAAGTGTATTCAAAAGTAGCAGAGGGAGGAGACCTGTGGGCTGGTGGTAGCATGCATTTCCTTCATGCCAGCCTGATTAAGGGGGGCTGGCCAAGAAGCCTGACAGGGGCTGGGGGACACAAATTATCATCTCTATCCACCCCTGCTCAGGAGGGAGATGGTGGCCCTCTGAGTCACTGTCATCCTTCCCTAGGAAACCCACCTGGCCAAGACAGCTCATTCTAGCTGTAAAGGGACCATGGGGGAGGCAAAAGGATGGCACTTTCCACTCAACCCTTTGCTCCGTTGTAAATCCTCTTCCTGGCACCGCTGGGATGAGCAGCTGAATAAATTCAACAGCGAAATTATCCAATACAGTCTCTAAGCAGTCAGAGGGGTCTTTTCATGAAACATGAATTCTATCTTGTCAGGTCATTCTATCTTCCCCTTGAAAACCCTTCAGCTGATTCCTATTGTGATGCCAATTAAAGCTAAATTACCCGAGACCTTTGCCCACTGCTCCAGTCTCATCTCATGCTACTTTTCCTCACCATGCTCCAGCCCATTGGCCAGCTCTTTCCTGCCTCCAGACCTTTGCCCTGGCTGTTCCCCTCTACCTAGATAGTTCTTCTTCCGGCTCATAGTACCTACCTACTATTGTTCTAAGGATTAAATAAGTTAACATCTTTAGATCATCAGAAAGGCCACAGCTTAAATGTCACCATCTTAGGAAGGTGTTTTCTGAACAACCTACTCAAAGTGGTTCCCCACCTACCGTGTTTCCCTGAAAATAAGTCATCCTCCGAAAATAAGACCTAGTGCATGGAAAGATAAGACATCCCCTGAAAATAAGACCTGGCGCAACTTTGGGAGAAAAAATTAATATAAGACACTGTCTTATTTTCGGGGAAACAGGGTAGTTACATGAAACTACATTCAACAAGAATTAGATTCTAAAGACAATATTTAAGGCAAAAAACACATTATGAAAAACATCACTAAAAAACCCTCAGAAAGCTATCATATTGGAGGCAGCACATCACTTTCTGTTCCTCTGACAACCCAGGCACATTTCCTTATAACCCCAAGCACCCTTACAACCTCTCCCTCACCCCTTCAAGTCTTTGCTCCTTGTTCCCTGTGAGGCTTTCCCTGACCATCCTCTTTAAAACTTAACTGTCACACTGACGTCCCAGCAT